CCACTCCAGCTCCCATCCCCTACCACACTCCAGGGGGTCCCCACCATCCAACAACTCAACAACTCCTTGTCCATCCCCAGCTCTATGCCCTGCCTTCCTATAAGACCATCTCACCACTGAGCCTGGCCAAGTCTATTGCCTCCAGTCTGATTCCTATGTACCTCAAGGAGCTTCTGTCTTACCTCCTCAAAGCTGGTTGTTCACCTGACCATCTGCTTGACCACCCAAACATCACAGAGCTTACCTCATTCTGCCCTGTCCTACAGCCAGGTGTTTACATATCTACTGGTCCATTTACAAAACAAGCTCATGGAGAACAAGAACTGAATCTTATTTGTCAATATACTTCCCACAGCTGCCTATCACATAACAGAGCTTAGTAAATGTTGCCTGAGTGAATGCATGAAGGAAAAACACGTGTTACTGAAATAATGCAACCAGAGGAAGAAAGTTTGGAACTGACAAACAGAACTTGCAGAAGATACACAAAACTCAAGCTTCTGCAGACCCCAGAGGGAGGGAGGAAGTGCAAAGGCCCAGGATGAAAGGGGGTGAAATGGACGGATGGAAATGAAATAAAGGCATGACTTTTAATCCATTCACCTGCCAATTTCTTACATTTTCAGAAGAATTCAGAATTCTTGGCACTTCTAATGTACTAAGAGTACAATTTTAGTTTGAGAGAAAATAAAACTGAGTCATTCTTTTGCTTAAGCTTACACACTGCTACTTACAAGATCCAGAAGCACTTCCATATTAATTCAATCTGATTACTTTAACATGTATTTCAAATGCCCCAGTTTGTCAGACCTATCAACAAGCTTAGGTTTCCATTCAAATTTTATTTTTAGATATCAGCCAGTTCCTCCAATGTGTCAGAGGCTTTCTGGCTATATACTTTTTAAGAAGATTTTTTTCTGATGCCTTTTCAATTGTGTAGACAATTATCTCTGAGGGTCTGGTTTTATACTGAGATAATTAGTCAAGTGCTATATATATATATATATTTTTTTTTTTTTAAATACTTTGAGAGAGGGGCGCCTGGGTGGCTCAGTCGATAAGCGTCTACCTTCGGCTTGGGTCATGATCCCGGAGTCCTAGGATCGAGCCCTGCATGGGGCTCCCCTGCTCGCGAGAAGCCTGCTTCTCCCTCTCCCACTCCCTCTGCTTGTGTTCCCTCTCTCAGTCAAATAAATAAATAAATAAATAAATAAATAAATAATACTTTGAGAGAGAAACAAAGAGACAGAGAGTGTGTGAACAGGAAGAGGAGCAGAGGGCGAGAAGCAGACTCCCAGCTGAGCATGGAGCCTGACGCGGGGCTCAATCTTACAACGCTGAGATCATGACCTGAGCCAAAACCAAGAGTCAGATGCTCAACCGACTAGCCACGCAGGCGCCACTTAAGTGCTGTATTTTTAAATAAATCTAATTAAAAGAACAATCAGATTTATATCTGATAGTCTTCCACAAATAAGTGAGGCTCCTCAACCCTAAGAAGAGACACCCTTGCCTAAGGAGTTGTATAAATTGATCAATCCTAGATTAATTAGGCAATGAAGTTAAACCAAACAGCCCAATCATGCTGATTTATAATAGTTTCAACAGCCCTTTAATGAGCTGTTTTAATTATAAGAAAAGCCACTTACAGCCTCTTAGCACCTAAATCAGAACCTTATATACTGTACCTGTTTTTGCTGGTATGATTTTCTTTTTAGAAAAGATCAAACAGGTTAGTTTTTGGGGTTTTTTTCTACCTTTTTCTCCTTGGATCCAGGTCTCCCTGGATTTGTGATGCAGGAGTTCTAAGTCTATAGGAGGGTAAGCTGTGAGCAGGTAGATTAGAGGAGTGGGTGACATGGGGTTTCTGTTTCTTTTCTTTCCTCAGTATTGTTCCCATTTTATGCTTGAGTCAACAGACCTGGGTCATCTGTATGGACCAAGATGAGTAGTTGCCAAACTACATCAAGACAAATAACCTTGGGGGGGGGGGCGGCAACACACCTGAACTTTCCACCAACCAAGACAAAAGGCACAATCAAGAATATTAAGTGCAGACAGGGTAAGGCCATCAAATCAAACCACTGGATTCCTTGGGGTCTATAAAAATGTACAGTCAAGGAAACAGGAAATGAAAAACAGGCTAACATAAAAAACAGTGACCATTGCTTGGGCATCCACCAAGGCGGCCCTCTTGGGATACCTCTTTAACATATGTAAGTTTTCAAAGTTTTAAGCATCACATCTAGTTAGAAGGTAAATCTAATTTTTGCTTCCCACAGCAAATATTAATCCCTAAGGGATGAATACATACCAGATTAGAATCTTTTTAGGGAATGTGGTAGATGGCAAACAGGACTTCAGATCCCTTCCCTCCCAGTACATGCATTCTGCCACAGGGAGGTGGCCTCTAATTTCCCAAACCTCCAAACTGGTTTGCTCTTGCGACTTGCTTTACCAATAGAGTGGGAGAAGTGATGTGAACACACAACTTCTATGGCTAGATCTTATGGGCCTTGCAGCTTCCACCTTCATTCTCTTGAAATGTTGCCCTGAAACTGCCATACCCTGAAGAAACCCAGGATCAAAGATCAGAGGAGGGAGGGGACAGACGTCCCAGCCGTCCTAGCACCCAGCCAACTTGCCAGCGAATGCAGCCACAAGAGTGAACCAAGCAGGACCAGAAGAGGAACTGCCCAGCCACCCAGAGTCAGGAGAAATGAACTGCTGCTCTTTGAAGCCCTAAGATTTGGGCAGTTTTCTAGATAACAGTAGAAACTGATACACTTATGATCATCTAGGGCCAAAATTTTAAATGTAAACAAGCTTATAAAGAAGAGGAAAAAACAAAATAAGGGGAGTGAAAAATAAAGTGAGAAACACATAACACTACTAACATTACAGTTATGCACATTAGGTTTAATTTAAATTTTAAAAACAAAATGTCCAGTTTAAGACTGAGGACAGGGCTCCTTATTAAGGATCGAAATATCCATGGGTGACTTTTGGAATTCCCCTGGGAAGAATAGTTTTCCCAGCAGATTCTCAGAGAGGTATGGGTTTAGAGCACTTGTGCACACATGCAGGAGGCTCCAAGTACCCAAGTACAGGCCCTGGTGGGAATGGAGCCCCTGGGGATCCTTTGGAATGGCATTAAGTAACTTTCCAAGAATAAGCCTTTTTTTCCATGCAACCATCAAAAGTGATGAGGGCTTTAGAATAATATTTATTAAGTGAAGAAAGCAGGAAACAATTATTCACAACTATAATTACAACTGCATAAAACATACACAGAAGCTAGAAAGGAATAAGCAAATTGAAAATAGTTTTCAGATTGGCAGAATGATGGGTAATCCCCATTTTCTACCTCATTTCCCAAAGTTTCTTAACACTGTTATAGTAGAAGGGCCAGGTGATGAGTGTGTATCGATTTCACATACGAACACTGTATTTTCATTTCAGTATGTCAATTTGTCTTGGTCACCCTTCCCACCAAAACCCAAGCCTACTTTATCTGTGGGATCCAGAACCCTGTCTCCATTGTCCCAAGAGAGAACTTGGTAATCACTGAGGAAGGACTGCTTGCTCAGGGTTCATCCAGGGGACTCCAGAAAGCGAGGCTTTCTTGAATCATAACCCAACGCCGATGCATGTTAAGCCACTTTGTTTCCATTGAATTGGTCCATCTTTCCCAAGAAATTGAAATAATGAGTCTAAGTTATCAGACTAGAACACTACCTATGGTGGGGGTAGGGACACATCCAAGAATGGTTTTGACTTTTCTCTAAAGAAACAACTGGCTACTGCCACATATACCTCACTCAACTTACTTAACAAGACTTTCAGAAACTACGAAACAATTTGATTACAAACCAGAGGATTGAGAAGAACAAGGAGTAATTTTTTTAAACATAAATTCTGAGAGCAAACACAGAACAGTATGCTTAAACATGCCAAGTTCAGATTCAACTACTTCCACCTTCATGTCCTATTAAGATATACTATGAATCCCTAACATGGCACAATTCATTTATATCACATTCAAACAGAATACTGCACATAGGCTAACGAGGAAGAACTAGAAATCCAAGTAAGACATTTGCTTTACTTTGCATGTTGTGCTTAAATATTTCTTGGAAACAAGAAAATCATTTGTAGCAGTGGTTAACATTTTACCCTACCCTAAAACACAAGAGAGATTTCATGTATCAGTGATTCTGAAATCCTGTGAGAATCACTGGCTTAATACTTAAGCTACAGGGTATAAATGCCACAGGAGTTGCATTGTAAGTCATGATGCCCAAGGTAAAACGTTTTTTGGCTAAAAGTCATCATAACTAACGACCCATGCTTGGTTTATGCCAATAATACATTACCAAATTGACAATTCTCAGCACTCTAGAAATCAATTCCCAATTGCCAACGGCTGCTATAGCCCAAAGACTGTCGCTGTTTTTAATGGTTCACGGACAATATTAAGGTTCAGCTCCTTTTCATTTACCACACCTTAGGCATTTCTGTAATCACTACCTAACGCTGATGATGGGCAAGTCCAAGGAGCAACGGAAACCCAGTTTCAGCACGTACTCTATGTGTAACATTCATCTGCAAACTTTTGTGAATTTTGAAAACTTGCAAAAGATTACTAAAATGACGGATCTGTGCCTCAGCTGCCTGCTGCCAACACTAGTGTCAGTCTATTGCACCAAAGGAAAGATATTTGTGGGGAAGGAACTGATAGGCAGGAAATGGAAAGACAGAAATTCCCCCCGAGAAGAAAGTAGATTTTCCAGGAGTGAAAGAACCACAAAAGGCCTAAAAATGATGCCTGATGCGCAGAGCTTACACGGTTTCCTCACTTGGGAGAAGAGAGCTTGGAAAAGCTTACACTGAAACTGCCAACTCGCTAAGGATTGCTCTGGGCAGCGAGCTTCATGTGATGCAGAACCAGCGTCAATCTGCCCAAACCGCTTCCAGGAAAGCCCGGCCACTCTGTGTCACCATACCTGAGCCAGCTCCTTAACGCGCTTCTCCAGGGGTGCAGGCAGGCCTTCAGGGAGGGAAGAGGGCTGCCTGAATTCCTGGTCCAGTCCCACCCCAAGGGAATCGCTCTCATCATCCATATCACGGAAGGGGCTTCCTTCTGGAGACTCACTAAGCAGCTGCTCCAAGTCCAAATCAGTCAGCGAGTCCATGGCAGTGGCTGCCTGGAGCAAGTCGTTGTCAGAAGTGGAGCCAAAAAGCGAGAGCAAGGGGTCAGAGGTGCCCTCCAATTCCCGCAGGCCCTGAGCTTCCACCGACGAGACCGCTACGGGCTTATGGTCTTCGTCCCTCTTTCTCTGAGCCTCCTTCTCCTTCTGAAATTTCTTTAGCATCTCTTTAACGCTCAAAGCCCCAGAATATTTCTTTTTCTTCTTCTCCTTACTGGCATTGAGGGCCGTGAAGCTGCAAGCAAGGACGAAACTGGTTACAAGGGCTGCAGTACACCTCAAAAGGGAAATTCACGAGAGACAGCCCCTGCTCCCAGCGCAACTGTCTCCAGGAACCTCAGTCACAAGGCCACCCTGTTAGTCCTCCTCCCTCCTCTTGGCATATGGAGCTCCTTCTTGCTGGGACCAAAGCTTGAGATTTAATACAGGTTAGCAAAACAGTGTCACAGAATGCTAAATATCCGATGTGTTTTTAAAAACCACTGCCAGGCTGAAATAAAAGGTTGCGAAAAAGGGGTGGGGGGCAAGAAAAATATTTAAAGGGAAAAAGCAGGAGTAGCAGCAGCAACTTGAAGGGCAGCTGGGGTGAGACCAAGTGAGGCGAAGACAGCAGGACCACAGAAGACAAAGGGAAGTGGCAGAGACGGAAGGAGAACTGGGGCAGAGGAGGGGTGCCCAAGAGAACAAGAAACATCAGCAGTCACACAGTGACAGAAATCGCTGCCAACACTGACAGAGGGCCAGAGAGAAGTCCCATGTCTGACACACAGAAATGTGAGAGCACCAATGCCCACGAGGGCACTGTGGGAGGCGTGAGGGGAACAGAAGGCCAGGCCCTGCTGCTTCTTCTGAAGCTGTGAGGAGGAGGGCACGTCAGCTCCCAGGTGTCCTGCCCTAACAGTTCAGATTTTATCCTAGCAAAGAAGCTGCTGCCTCTCACCCGGCTTTGGAAAACTTGGACTTTTTCGATTTCTTCTCCTTGTCATAAGTGTCATCTTTTTTCTTCTTCTTTATCTTCTCACCACCTTCCTTCAACTTCCGCTTCTGAGAATTAAAGACAAGGCACAGTTACACGGCTCCCTAACTCAGGGAGCAAGTGCACTACACAGCACTGGCCTTGCTCCGCCAGGGGACATCCTGAGAGCTGCCTTATTTCCTTCATGAGCAACAGCTTTCAGATCGGTCCCTGGACCACAGACCTGCAGGTCAATACAGTGTTCCCATTGACAGTGTCTCCTGGAAGCACCCAAGGCTGAGGCAAGAGGCCATTCTGTAGCCTGAAACTTTTCTAGTTCAAGTTAGCTGTATATGGGCCCTACCTCTTGTTTTAAACATACAGGCAGTGGTGGGCAGATTTCAAAATACAGTCATCTTAAGGCTAACTTGTTTTTGTTGGGGTGACAGCCCTGGGAACTGAAGTCCTCTACATGTCCACAGAAGAGACACAGCAAGGCTGGTGCAAACTCCCCTCACTCCACACCCTTCACTGCCCTAGTCCCCACCCTGAGACCACCTTGAGAAACAAATCCCTGCCGAGCCTGCTGGGACACAGGCGTGGACACCTCCAGGTCCACAGCACCTGGCCACAGTACAGGTGTGAGTAGTGACCTGTCAGCCTCGGCAGGGCTCATGCCTTTCCACCAAGCTCCTGAGCCATCCTAAACCAGCAGACATTCTGGCAAGTCACCTACTGATCTTATAAAGTCATGTAAAAAAAGCACTTCTGAAATCCAAAAGCAAGGATCGTTCTAACCTTTGGAGATTTTTTCTTCTTTTCTTTAATGAAGTCATCCTCAGATTCTGATGCTTGTCTAAATTGCAGGGTTCCAGAGTTAATGTAAAATCCTCCATACTTTGTAGTCAAAGAAGCAGGAACAAGCTCATCATACTGAAGGGGGGAAAACAAATGGTCAGCTCCAAGTTCTGGTACTAATAAATAGTCCAAAGGTGCAGAGTGGGTCTTGACAGAGCAGATATGACTCTGTTCTTCTGCCACTTTTCAGACAGCGTGCTAAGGCCTGCTTCTGGTCAACCACAAATGTCCTAGCTCAAAGGTGTTTGGACAGATCTGGTCATCATTTTCAGTGAGGGAACCATGGCCAGATCAAGCATGTCACTTCCTCTCTCTCTAACTCACCAGGGCAGCCTTTTCTTCACAGAGGGCATGCGCACACTGACCCAATCTCCACCTCCAGGCCATCACCAATAGAAGCTGGGGTGTGGTGGTTCCAATGGCATTTTCAGTAAAGACTTACCGCCTCAGAATTATCGATGAAGGAGTCAGATTCATCATAACCGTACCCCATGTCAATCAGGTCCTGTAACCGATCTTTTCTACGTTTCTTTCCACCCTAAAATTTAAAATAGGTCATGTGCTTTTTCCATGTGTAACTATGGTAAAAACCCATAGCATAAGGCCTACCCTCTTAACAACAAATGTTTTAAGTCTAAGGTCACGTGCTTTTTCTGATACACAGAATTAATTGTTGCCTTGAATTCCATCAACTAGTGACTAAAGGTTGTAAATCAGTGGGTCACACACACACACATCCCTAAGCCCACCCCAAACCCCATTCCCTTAAAGACCTTCTAAAATAGAACAGATCTGTATCTGCACAAAATGGCCTAAGACAGAAGGAACTAAATGGCTTTGTATGCTTTGTATCAAAACTCTTATTCTAAGCATAAATTCTAGGAGTAAAACGCCCTTCTTGCTCATTCATCCACTTAGCTTCATATACTAGTGCCTGCCACATGCATTGTCTGTACCTTAATGCATTTATCTAATAACTGCATTTTGTTCTCTCCAACCTCTGTACTTGTTTAGATGATAATCCACTAAAGGAACATAAAAATGTCTGGAAACCTCTCCCACTCAACGAGGTTGTTTTGTTGCCCAAGAGAGGAATCTTACATATTTTTCTTCAAATTTCCGGGCAAGGGCCTCCACTTTATGCCTTTCCTTTTCTTCATCATTGAAAGGATCTGAGAGATCTTTCTTCTGTAAAGAGACCATTCCACAAAAATAAGAGTCACAAAAAAATTCCCACAATCCTATTCATAATACCTGCACTGACTACTCAATACGCATGAACTGCATAATAAAAACAACTGTTTCAAAAAAGACAAGAAAAAATACATGCTACTGTCCCAAAAGTGTTTACCTTCGTTGCTTAAGAAAATAAAGTTTCCATTCATGTAATTCAACAAAACTAAACGCCTACAATCACCCACCAGAGCATTAGGTCCTAGAGGGCTCCAAACATAGCAAAGGGCCTTTAGTTAGGGATGCTCAACCTGTATAGAACTGTGTTTCAATATAGCTGGTTTTCTTTGTAACCCTAAAAATTATTTTACGCATTTAAAAACATTACTCTAAGAAGGTCCATAGGCTTCATTGACTTCCAAAGCAGTCAACAGCTCAAAAAGGTTAAGAACGCAGTGAAAGTAGTGCAAGCCCTTGAGAGCTATTCTGCTGTATTGGTTAGTAGAGTGGTATGAACTTGGACTTCCTTCACTGCTACCAAAAGTCAAAACCAGGTTCACAGCATTCCCTTTCCCTGGAAGCTTATCTTGATGGATCAGTAATCTCGTCTTTCCTCCCAATGTCAATATGCATTCCAAATATTTTCATGTGGTTTTCCAAAGTTTATTTCTACTCCATAAACTTACTGTTGCATTTTTCTCAAGTAAATTTTCCAGAGCTGGACTTTAAGCTTCTCTGGCAAGGAAACTTAATTTTAATAAAAGACTCCTATGCCAAATACATTTAAGACTTCAGAGTAGACCAATATCACTGAAGATTGGATGCCTATCTTAAGACAAAACTCTATTACCCCACCCTCCCATCCCTGCCCACTGGAATCCCATCCACTCATGAAGGACCAGTTAAATGAGATATTGTGGAACGTACACATAAGAGCCACAAGTGAGTGGTCTTTAAAACATGCACTCATCTGTACCTTCTAAAGTTTTCTATAATGATCACATACAACCTAAGTGATTAAAATAATTTTAAGAAATGCCACCAATCTGGGGCGCCTGGGTGGCTCAGTCGGTTAAGCATCTGCCTTCGGCTCCAGGTCATGATCCCAGGATCCTGGGATCGAGCCCCACATTGGGCTCCCTGCTCAGCAGGGAGCCTGCTTCTCCCTCTCCCTCTGGTGCTCCCACTTCTTGTGTGCTCTTTCTCTCTCTCAAATAAATAAAATCTAAAAAAAAAAAAAAAAGGTTAAAAAAATTCCACCAATCTAGAGCAGTACTAGATACAACCTGTACTCTCTTATGTCTTGCAAAGAGTAGTTGTCCAAAAAGTACTACTTCCTGCATGCATGAAGGTCCAACTCTGTTCAAACACAGCATCCAGGATGTAAGCTCTCTGCTGTCCAAGCCCTGCAGGGCTTTGTATTTGTATCAGACTTAAACAACTGCCACATTGTAACTCCTGGTACCTGTTTTGGCATAATTCTAAAGTACCTACAAGACTGAAAGTTCCTTTGAGGCTGGGATAGTGGCTTCTCCACCTTTATATAGTCCTCAGCATCTCACCCAGTGCCTTTACATTATAAGAAACATATGCTAACTGAATTACTATATGAATCTGTCAGATTACATAATACTTTGAAAACCACAGAGTAGACACAAAGATTCAGGGTTCTGAATCTGAAGTCCAGGAGTGAAACCCTTAAACTGAATCCAAAGTTCTCTGTGTATGCTCCAAACATTTTTCTGCAATGGAGAAGAACTTCTAGATCCCTCAGAAAGGTGAAATCAGAGCACTAGAGTTCTAATTTCAGTTGAGCCCATATATAAAGACCTCAACCAATTCCTGCTACTGTCTCTTCCTCTCAAGGAAAAAGATCCCATTCCTACTTTGGAAAAGGAATCATGAACGGATTTGAAATTATTTTTTCTCATCTTGCCCAATAGCCCTCATATAAAAGGTTGACCCTTGGCACAAACTTCCTGGCCTCCATTCAGCTAATCAGATCTTAATCAAGGAAACACATTTTTGTCTGAGCAAAGAAAATAGATAATCCTCCTAACCAACGGCACTCACCCCCAACAGCACAACAGTGAATTAGAAGGAAGGAACACTGGCCACTGAGTTATGCCGCTAAAAATTGTACCTACATGATCTCATTCTACCCTCAAACACCCTGTCAGCCAGGTACTAGGCTGATCCTCATTTTACTAAGAGCCACTCTAGAGACCAAAATACTCCAAGTGCAGGACCCTACTAACCTTTGCCTCCAAGCCTAGCATAGTGCACCAGGGTAGGTGCTTGTGCTCTTCACCTATTTCCTACCCGTGCTGTAGGATTCTGTTCCGTTTATGTAAAACACAAAAATGTGTAAAACTGATCTAAGCTGTCGAAAATCAGGGCAGTGGGCGTGGGTAGTATTTTGGAAGGGCAGGAAGAGGGTTTCTGGTGTCCTGGAAAATATTACATTTTACAATCCAGGCACAGGATACAAGGGTGTGTTGAATTTGTGAAAACGCATCAAGTTATGAATTTATCATATATGCACTTTTTAATGTATTTAATTCAGTAAATAGTTTTTTTTAATTTTACAATGTTAATGAATTATCAGAACATCAGTAAAAGCTGAAGCTGGTGATGGGTACATGGGGACTCATTATACTACTCTCCTATTCTGTGCATGTTTGAGAAGTTCCATACTAAAGAGCATAACAAATCTGCCAGGAAAATAAATAGGTCATTTTAAAAAACATTTAAGAAATCAAACTGATTCTCAAAAGACCTGAAAGGTACAACCCAATTCTGACAAACAAAATATAAAAAAACTCCCATAAAAATAGGTTTCTATCCATCCAAGTAAAGAAACTATCCTGAATCTCACTGTTCAGAAGACATGAGCAGTCAGTGTCTTTTTTTGTCTGCCCTCACACCAGGCACAGTGAGATTCCATTGGAAAAGAAAAATGTCCAGCACAAAATTCCGGTGCTGTAACAGCCAGGGGCTGGTCACATTTACACATAACATGTACACCTTGGCATGAAAGGCTTCATTGTTTATTATTAGCTATAATTCATATTAGCCTTGGATGTACAGTGTTCTCTCTAGCATAAATCAGGAGAATGGTTCTAGAAAGAATTCTATCCTTTCCTGCCCAGAGGCAAAACCAGCACACCTTGTAACTGCTTTGGACTGAGTGCCGTGATCTTGGGATAGCCAGAGCCTTTCTAATCTTGCTTCCACCTTCCAGAAGTCCCTTTTGCACAGGATGTCCCACACATTATATCTGCAGACTGAGTCTGGGGCTGCTGGGGTGTACCTTGTCTGCAGGTTGAAGGCCTTTCACCTTCCCTCGTATGTTCTTCACCAGCTCCGGGTAGAAGAACTCTGGACAGCGCTTGTGATCTGGCTCAAAGAGGGTGAGTGTAATCCGAACAGCTGCTGCAGCCGGCTCAGAGTCCTGATGCTGTTCTGTTCCCCCAACCTCCTCTTTCCGGGATTTCTTCAAAAATGCAGGATTCAGAGAACCTGGGAGAGAGGTGAACTGGACCCTGTGGGGCTCCGACATGGCTACCAACAAGTCTTAGCAGGTGTCACTGCATGGCTTCTGTTAACATTAAAAGAAGGGCCAGGTCAAACCAAGATGATAAAAATGATGATTTTTCCTGTTCAGCTATTCAGATTCAAGCTTAAAAGAATTTCATTGTCAAGAAGAATCCATTGTTGGGCGCCTGGGTGGCTCAGATGGTTAAGCATCTGCCTTTGGCTCAGGTCATGATCCCAGAGTCCTGGGATCGAGTCTCGCATCAGGCTCCCTGCTCAGCGGGAAGCCTGCTTCTCCCTCTGCCCCTCTCTCTCTCTCTCTGTCTCTTATGAATAAATAAATAAAATCTTAAAAAAAAAAAAGAATCCATTGTTAAGTTGATCTTAATTACCATTTACTGCTTTTTTCTTCTTCAATACTATTCATCTTAAATATACCATTTTTAAATATAAATGCAAATCACCCCAAATCCTATCAGAGATAGTGTTCAACATACTTCTTTCTAGTCTTTTTTTCTATGCCTAGTCAATAGTTCTTATATGTTAGAGAATCCATGCTGATAGAGCCTTAAAGAATCCTCAAAACTGCAAACACCACCAGAGAATATTTTTCATTTAATTTATCTAACACTTTTTTTTTTTTCTGGCTGACAATCATCTTTCTTAAGATCTCTATATTTTCATCACCAGCAGTACACTTACATTTAGGGCCCATATTTACAATGAGAAAGTTTTCAACAGCTCACAGAAGGTACTGCCTCCTCTGGGGTAAGTAAAAAACAAGTGTCTCAGGAGTGTGGCTCGGCTCATTTCCTAACACACCAGCCTCTGTCCACCCACAACTGGGCCTCGGCAAAGTGAAAAATTATCACATGCCAAAGACCTTCAAAGTTGCTTGGAAATGGTCAAAATAGATTGTAAAGCTCAGAATACCAAGGGTTTATGGAATATAAATATCCAAACACACACACACTATATATATAGTTTTTGTGTGTGTGCTTCAGGTATAATCTTATGTCCTGCTTTTTTAAACTCACACTCTAGTATGAACTTTCTACCATGACACTAAATAAAAATATTCACTGCGGCCTTGTTTATACAGGAAAATGGTAAAAACAACCTCGATATCCAGCATTAAGGGAATGGTTGGGAAAAAATTGCAGCTTTTTAAAAGTGATTTATTCTTATAATCTATAAATTTTGATATAGATATACAATGCTTGTCATACCTCTTACAACTACTTTTTCCTGCTTCGTTACTGTTTAATTTGAAGTGAGGTATAAAAGAAATTTTAATTTAGTTTTCACACTGAACTCTTTAACTTGGCTTCTTCCCAGCATCAATCACTAACCTTTCTTTCCCCTGCTGACTTGGCATATGCTATATAGTAATGTATTAGACATCTTAAGATCTATTATGGAAATCCAACCTGTTAGATTAGTCTAGTCTAGTAAATCTAGACATTCTTTAACCAAAACTATACTGTTTTGAAAAATTTTTATGGTATATTTTAATATCTTCAATCAAAAATTCATCTTTATTATTCTTCTTTTAAAAATAATAGTTATTCCAGCCTGTTTATTATTTCACGTCAACCTAGGAATCATTCTGACAAGTTTCAAAAAAAAGCTCACTGTATTTTGACAGTAATGAATAATTAGTAACTAATTCAGGAAGATTTACACATATCACATATATCCACATATAAGAATGTCTACTTACATACATGTAATGTTCATTTTTTTCTACTATGACCAAAAATTGTGATCGCTAAGATCAGGCAATAAAATATCTAAAAATGAAGAGTTAAAATTATTCTAAGTAGGCAGCAAAGTGATTAGCAGCAAAACAGGTTGGTAGTGCAAAAAACCATCATGCACTAAAATGTTGGAAAGAAATTCCTCTAAAAAAAACTTTGAAGGCCCCCAGGACATTCGTGATGCCCTGGGTTGTGAAAATAAATCACAGCTGAAAGCTGAGGCTTAAAGGTCCCCCACTGACACAGCAGGCAAAGTCACACTATAAGAAGGGAACCTTCAAGTTAACAGATGGGATAATAGGAAGTTCACCCTGGAAGGGGCAACCAGGTTCCTGTCCCTGTCAGGAAGTAATTTTTAAAATGTAACCTTATCATGGTCCAAATTTTAGACATTGTAACTTCATTCACCTAGATGGTAAAACTGCTTCTCTCAGTTGTGCGACTTTAGAAATAAGACTAGAGAATAAAGTAAATCAAACCTGTAACATATTAACACTTAGTAGTTAGATTTTGTACTAAATTTTATAATCATCATGATAATTACTTGCTACTTGTTACTAAATTATTTGAAACATTTAAGAAAAATCAGACATATTAATGATTAACCTATTAGACTTACAATTTTAATTTGAAATGGTTAAAAAAATAGAAGTTTGAAAGTGTTCATTTAGACCTGACTTCTACATCTATCAGATTACATGAGTTATGTCTTTGGAAAGATTTTACCATCAGGCTTACAAGTTTACCATTTTAGAAGTTTGAAGTATTTGAGAGAAAAAACATATACAACTTTAAATGCAGGGGACCTGAGTGGCTCAGTAGGTTGATCAGGTCTTGATCTCAGAGTAGTGAGTTCAAGACTGGCTCTGGGCTCCACGCCCAAAACAAAACAAAAACAAAACTTAAAAAAACAAGAATAAAAACTTTAAATGCAGCTTAAAACATTTAAGGGTATTCAACATTGCAAAAAGAGTTCACTGTTTAGCGGAATGTAATTTTTTAAACTGATACCTTAACTGAAGCTTTGTCAAGGGTCAAATATTTTTATTTTTATATAACTACTCTTAGATTTGTTTTTTGTTTTTTTTAAGATTTTATTTACTTGACAGAGAGACAGCGAGAGAGGGAATACAAACAGGGGGAGTGGGAGAGAGAGAAGCAAGCTTCCGGCCGAGCAGGGAGTCAGAGGCAGAGCTCGATCCCAGCACCCTGGAATCATGACCTGAGCCGAAGGCAGATGCTTAACGACTGAGCCACCCAGGCGCCCCCTATTCTTAAATTTGTAATTGGGGGGCTCCTGGGTGGCTCAGTTGGTTCAATGACTCTTGGTTTGGGCTCAGGTCATAATCTCAGGTCCTGGGATCAAGCCCCGCATCCCACTCAGCTTGGAGTCGGCTTGGGATTCTTTCCCCCTTCTACTCCTTCCCCCTCTGCTCCTCTGGACCCTGCTCTTTTCCTCTCTCAAAATAAATAAAAATATTTTTTAAAAAAATGTGGGAGTAAAACTTAAAAGGCTTAAGAAAAACTAGGTATTTAAATACTCAATTTTAACAAGTTGAACATCATTCTAAATAAAAGCACAGTATTGTACACACAAAAACATCCCTCCCAAAAACCTCAACTGGTGTTATCAAAGAAACACTAGGCTTCTTTTGCATCTTGGTTTATTCCCAGGAATTACACATTTTTTTTTCATTATACATCCTCTTAACTGTTGTATTTTCAAACTGATTATCGGTGAAACAGAAAAACTTAATTTTGTATGATTATGTATTCTTTTTTTTTTTTTAAGATTCTTATTTATCTGACAGAGAGACAGCGAGAGAGGGAACACAAGCAGGGGGAGTGGGAGAGGGAGAAGCAGACTCCCCACCAAGCAGGGAGCCCGATGTGGGGCTCGATCTCAGGACCCTGGCTGAAGGCAGAGGCTTAAGGACTGAGCCACCCAGGCACCCCTGTAATTAGTCTCCTTACTGAACTCATTTAATGGCTCCCCCCCCCCCCCATAGGCTGTCCTGTCATTCCCGGAGATTTTTTTCTTCTTTCTGAAATGTCTCTTATTTTTGTTTCATGTCTTATTGCATTGGCTAGAACTTACAGGATAATATTAAACATATATTCTTTGCCATGCTGTGACTCTCATGGGAATGCCTCTAGGTCCACTGGGATGTTGATTTAAAATTCACATATTTTATCAAACCATTAAAATATCCTTCGATTGCTCAAAAATTAAGAGTTTTAAAATTAGGAACGTGTGTTGAATTTTATGAAATCGTTTCCTGGAATCTTAAATGTGCTTTCAGTTACCGGTTTGTCCTTAAGGCAATATAAAACAGTAAATGACAGCTCCTGAAACTAACTGCCGGTACTTTAGGGAAACTGAAATCCAAGAAAAACCAAGCTGCGGACAAGCCAACTCGCTAAACAAACACACAAAAAAACACTCTTACAACCAAAGTCCCCCTATAACAAAAACACCTACAGGAGATGTGTGAACCTCCGCCACCTTTTCAAGCAGAGGGCGACTCAAGCAAAACTCTAAGTCGACACTTAGACATTGGAGTCTGCAACTGGGATTGGGACCTTTTCAAAAATCGTTATTTTCCACCCGGAGCGTTTGGGCCCTATGCTGAACTGCTGTGAACAGTTCCCCATTCAATGACTTCGTTTTCACGTACTGAAACTACGCGAGCATCTGCCTTCCTGTTGTCACAACAGCCAGCTCCCAACTTCTCTAAAAGTGTCAAACTACAACAAGGCGTACGTGAGAGCCCGGTCCCGACAAAGACACGCACCTTTGTCCCCGGCGCGACGCAGGCTACGGCCCCGAGGGCCGCACTCGTCCCCCCGCGGCCGTCCTCATGCCGGCCCGGGCGCCCGGGCTGCGGCGCTGCTAGCGGCCGGCCCCC